AGTGTGGGGCTGTGAGGTCATCATTGTCACCTTTAGTGTGGGACTGTGAGGTCATCATTGTCACCTTTAGTGCGGGACTGTGAGGTCATGGTCGCCTTCAGTGTGGGGCTGTGAGGTCACCACCTTCAGTGTGGGGCTGTGAGGTCATCATCGCCTTCAGTGTGGGGCTGTGAGGTCATCACCTCACTCACCTTAGAGGTGTTACTATCCAGCAGCCCCTGGAAGCTCACCCGGTGTCGGTGCTGAGAACAGCCAAGGACCAGGGTTCAGATACAGAGTCTAGCCAGGCATAGTGGGGTGTATCTTTAATCCCAGGACTCATGAGGTAGAGGAGAGTGGAACTCTGTTCTCTGTGAGTTCCAAACCCTTAGTGAAACCCTATCTCAGGTAAACACACACACACACACACACAAAGAGAGAGAGACCTGCGGCTTCCAGTGATGGTATTTAGACCCTAAGGGCTACAGTGGGTCTGCCCTTAAAGGAAAATTGAGACCCCCTTCTGGGTGGCCTGCTAGTTTCTCACTGAAATATTTGCTGGCGCAGGTTTCCGAGCCTAGGCTGACTCTAGTTGTGAACACCCTCTGGCTGCTGGAGACCCATCCCAGGCCCAGAGCCCTGCTGAGGCATCCTCTTGCTTCGCTCTGCGGGTGAAAGTGCTCCAGCTGCTGAGCGGCACCCACTGGCCTGACTCACATATCCCTTCCTCCAGAGCCACGCTCTCTCTCCATGCTCAGAAGCTCCAGGCGCTGAGCCAGGCTTTGAGGGCCAGCCCCCAGAGCCTGCCCCCCTGTTGCTGCCTCCCATCTGCCTAGCGAGCCGCTTATCAGGTAACCAGAGCCCTCAGCAGCGTCCACGCCTGAAACAGGAAGCTCTGCTGGGCCTGCACACAAGCTCACAAGCCGCCACTGAGAATCTGACTTAGGATGGAAGAGCAGCAGGCACTGGCGGCCTCCAAGGATGGGGATGTAGCCGCCTTGGAGCGGCTGCTTGAGGCGGGTGCCCTGAGCCCAGGCATCACTGATGAGTTGGGGGCTGGCCTGGTGCATCATGCCACCCGGGCTGGCCACCTGGACTGTGTCAAGTTCCTGGTGCAGAGGGCCAAGCTGCCCGGCAACCAGCAGGCACACAACGGGGCCACGCCAGTTCATGATGCGGCCGCCACTGGCAACCTGGCCGAGCTGTGCTGGTTGGTCCACGACGGGGGCTGCGGGTTGCAGGTAAGCTAGACTAGGGTGGCTCTATGCCTGCTGTCCAGAAGGTCTGGTCCCTGGAAGGTCCTGAGCTCTGTCTCAGTCAGAGATCTGTGCCTCTGCCTCTCACTGCCCTCCACCACCACCACTCAAAAAAACCCGGAACAAACCCTTGAACACCAAGGCCTACATCAGTCACCCTCAAATATACACAGAAAAGTCACCTGGGCTTTTCCACCCCTCCCCCAGCAAGGAGCACCTAGGGCCACCAACGATGGCCCTGCCTATGTTCAGGATCCCATCTCTGATCAGACCTGATCAATAGGACCTATTCCCCCAAAGAGTCAAGAAGTGGCGTTGTAAAGAGGTACTTTGGGCTCTCAGGATCTTGGAGCCCTGGGGACATAGGCTGACAATTGTCCTAGTGAGAAGGTTCTCAAGTCGGGTGATCATCCTGCTAGAACATGTCTATTAGAGCTACCAGCCTTGTCTCTGCTTGCATGCCTCTTCCTGCTTGGTGCAGGTAAGGGACAAAGGCTGTCAGCCATGCTGCATGCTTGGGAGCACAAGGAAGCCGTTGAGTTGGACGGAGACAGAGACACCAGCAGCATAGGGCGTAGAACTGCTCCAACCTCCACGCCCTTTTTTCAAGGGCTCTTCCAATGATCCCTGAGAGCAGAGGGCAGGCACTGCCCGTTTCCAGATTCCCTTTGGATTATGGTATCCTCAGGGAATGCCCAGGTCTGCCAGATGCCTAACACCTTCAGGAGAAATGTCTTGGGGACCACCCTGGGGTGGGATGAGGGGCAGAGGTTTAGAGGTCTCTGTCCCGGAACACCTGCAGCGAGAATCCCTGTGTTAGCTGAAGCTTTTCCAAGCACGTGCAGAATGTTCAGGGACTGAACTGATCAGAAAGGCTGGGAGCTGGAGTGGATGGGGAGGGATCCCAGTGGTCCAGCCCAGCTTCTTTCTCGGTCAAGGTGGGGATGGAGGAAGCAGGAAGGAAGCCAGCAGCAGGTGTTATAGGGTCGTCCAGGAGACCAGCCTCAGTCAGCTGGCCATGCTGGTGGTGCCCAGCCAGGCTGCCCTGGGACCTGCCTAGGCTCAGCATCCTGCTTATGTCCCGGTAGGACCAAGATGCCTCGGGTGTCTCCCCATTGCACCTGGCTGCCCGGTTTGGCCATCCGGCACTGGTGGAGTGGTTGCTACGGGAGGGCCATACAGCCACACTGGAGACACTGGAGGGGGCCTTACCGCTGCACCACGCTGCTGTTAGTGGCGATCTGACCTGTGTGAAGCTCCTGACAGCTGCCCACAGCAGGTGAGAGCCCAGAACCCTGCCCATGGAGACTGGCCACCGAGGGAGCCCGCACAGAGGAGAGGCACATGCTGGTGACCTTTGAGGCAGGCCCTGTAATTCCAGAGCCAGAGAAAAAGCAGGGGCAGAAGGCATGGATGCAGGCTCTGCATGGGGAAGGGAGAGCCTTTAAACAGAGCTGCAGCATTGCACTGGTCAGGGACCCGCAAGAATTGCACCCAAATGGTGCTTGCCTTCAGTCATGCTGATCTGGGTTCATCCTCCACATTGGAATCACCTTGACTGGACCAGCCTCATCAAATCCAAGGCCTTATACCTGACCCTTCTAGGTTTGGTGGATGAGGGAAGATAGGACCAGACCCACTGAGGCAAGCAGCCTCCAAATTTCTCTTCCCTCCTTCATTGTGTTCTGGTCTGAGCCCTTGTACAAAGCTCACCTTGTTAGAGCAAAGCAGGGCAGAGGGGCTTTGACAGCAGAGACCCAAACCCTTGCCCCTTGAGCAACTCATTCAGCTCTGAGCCTGTTTCCCCTTTTGCCAGTTGAAGCTTGTAATGGCCCCTCCATGATGGAGTAGAGGTGCCCCTCTGGGGTGAATCCAAAGTCACTCAGGGAGTTGCAGGGTGTCCGTGGAAGCAGGTCATTGCTCCCCTGTCTCCTGTGCCTAAGTGGCATGCTGGCTCAAGGGCCCCAGACATGAGGATGTAGAACAAGGCCAGGGCACAGTCAGAAGATAAATATGCTTCAGCCAGGAGTAGTCAAGAGCCAAGCCTTACTGCTAAAGAAGGCCACCTTACCCAGTCCCACTGTGGCCAAGCGAAGACGCTGCTCAGCAGATACAGAGGTTATACCCATCAGGGTTGCTCAGTGGCAACAGCAGACACTACCAGCCACAGTGCCACAGAGGCAGAGGGGGTCCCTGGGAGTTAGGGGTCCATTCTGTGTCTCTACAGGGTGGCTGAGAAGGCAGTCAAGACTGTGACCTTCCTCCGTCCAAAATGATTGATATGAGTAAACTTGACCCAGGCAAGGAAAGAAAGGAAGGATTCTGGTTGCAGGGGGTGGGGCACAGAGCGCTTGGAGGCAGAGGCTGGAAGGAATAGGGAAACTCAGACTATTTGTTCAGGGATCAAGGACAAGGACATGTAGGTCACCCGAGGATGATGTCAGCTTGGGGAAGGTCACTGGGAACCAAGAGTTCACAAAGGGTTCACACAGGCCCACGAGTGACCTGCGGAAAATCCCCCCAGTGCAGGGCGGGGGGCGCTCAGCCTTCCCGGGGCAGTTCTGGGTGCAGGCCTCACGAGTCTCCCTCCATCACAGTGGTGTGAACCAGCAGACCCGCAACGGTGCCTCTCCGCTCTACTTGGCCTGCCAAGAGGGCCACCTGCATCTGGCGCAGTTCCTGGTGAAAGACTGTGGGGCCGACGTGCGCCTGCGTGCCCTGGATGGCATGAGCTCACTGCACGCTGCGGCCGCCCGTGGCCATTACTCTCTGGTTGTCTGGCTGGTAAGAGGGCACTGTGGGGAGCAGGACACTAGGAGTCCAGGCCCTAGAGCCAGCTGGGCCTGGAAGGGAGGCTCTCTAAGGCACGGGGTAACACAGGTCACAGGTCACCCAGAGTACGGGGTGGAACTCCGAGGTGCCTGTGGAACCGCAGGAGACACAGCAGCCCCCAGGGCTCTCGGGGCCCCTTCCTAGGAGTTGGGTGCTTCCCTCGAGTCCACTCGGTGTTGCTGATTGTCCAGGTGTTCTGTCACAGATGCCACACCTGGCCTGAACCACTGGTCCATGTTCAAGCCCTGGTGCCCCAGAGCTCTGAGCCAGGCCCTCATCTTTCCCAGGAGAGAAATCCCAAACTCCAGAGTGACTGGAGTTGGGCCAGGGTGGGCCAGGGTCTTCTCACCTTCACAAAAAACCCAGCCACCCCTGAAGGAGGCAGGCACTTCGAGAGTCCACTAGCGATTCCATGGTGCCCATGAGTTGGGAGGGCCCCTCGGAGGAATAGGCAGAAGATGGACAGGAAGTAGCTTGAAGTGTACAGTGGTGGGGAGCAGGACTCAAGGCCGTTTCTCCAAAAAGGACGCATCACACTCTGGTCTGGATGGAGTGGCAAAGACGGGTGGGCGGGGGGC